AACGTGAGAGGGTCGAGCGGAGCAGCAAGGACCTCCCACGGAGCAGACTTGATCAAGTCGCGCACGTTGTCCTCGTCCACTAGATCCTCTCGCCAGTCTCCCAGCGGAGGCACAGGATCACGGAGAGGAATCAGCCACTCCATCGGCTTAGTGTAGTGGTGAAACAGCAGGTCCGCGTCCATCTCCACGATGCTGATCTGGCGGATGTCTTGCGCAGACCAGGGGACGATGTCGTGGCCGCGAAAGCTACGACGATCACGATAACCAGGGATCCACTCCGATCGGGGGACCGTAGTAGGCTGCAAAGCCGCTAGCTCAGCGTCCGACAGAGGACAGGATGGCATTCCAAATTTGTTCTTGGCGCGACTCGACTCCGGAGAACCACTGTCGTTTCCCGCGACGTCAGAGTCGAAGATGTGAGTTGAACCAGATGCGCCGGAGGAACTTTCGTCACTTTCAGAGTGCACGATTGCCTCAGAAGCTACAGGGAGCGACGAAGCCCCTCCGCCACCACTCTTAGCAGCCGATCGAACAGATCGGTGGAGATGACCAGGAGGACCAACGGAGGAAGAAGACGACATCGACCTGGTAGCCCTCTGGCCGACAGCCGCGGTAGACAGAAGTTCGATCGGGGATGCAGATACGGGAGCGTGACCGGAAGCGTTAGCTTGGGAAGAGCTTGAAGTCGATCGAGCAGCCTTGGAAGCACGGGTAGACGAGGTTGGAGACTCGGCTCCGGAGCGTGTCCGTTTATGGCCTGTTGCGGATGGGAGAAGGGACGCAATGCTGGACAACTTCCCCTGCGCCTGGTCCCGCTCGGCACGCAGATCGGTGATCTCCATGAAACGCTCGCCAAGTTGGCCGAGCAACTCGTCTCGCTGTACTGCCAGATCATCCCTTTCCTGCTGAAGCTTGGCGAACGCAGACTCGAGATCCTGACGCGACTTCTGGGACCTCTCGACTTTGTTGATCCGTTTTTCCAGCCGCGCGATGGTATCGCGAGCAGCTGAGACACGATCCTCTGTGACACGGGAAGCAGATCAGTACGACGAGGAAGAAAGGATGCAGACAAATACTCACGAGTAGCGATGTGTGCCGCCTTAGCCTGATCGCGTTGAGAGATTGCCGCCTGAGCGCGCTGAGACGCCTTCTGGAGATCCCGATCCAACGTTGATACTCGGTCTTGCAAGCGTCCAAGCTCAGCAGTATGGGTCGCGATCGTGGTATCAGCCACTCTCAAGCGACGCTCGTAGTTGTCGTTCAAGGTACGAAGACGACCGTTCTTGTGCTTGATCACGGCTTCGAGGCGAGTTACCTCGGCCTGCGCGGCTTTGAGAGATGTGGTCGATTCGCGAAGCTCAGAAGCGAGGGCAGATTGGCGATGGCGCGCAACTTGCAGATCAACTTGAGACTGCGTGAGCTGGGACTCCAAGTCCGCTATGCGACGAGCCGTATCAGGCGGAACGATC